GGCTCCTGCCCCAGGCTCCAGTCCCAGGCTCCAGTCCCAGGCTCCTGTCACATGCTTCAACTCCAGATGCCAGCCATAGGCACCAGCCACACGCTCTAATCAAAGGCTGCAGCACTGAGTACGGACCCTGGTTCCTGGTCTAGATTCCTGTGGGCTCTAAGCCCAGGATTCCATGGTGGGTCCCAATCCAAGTACTACCCCAAGTCTCTAGCCCCAGTACTCAGTCCCTGTTGCAACCCCAAGCTCTGCACTCGGGTGAGGTGTGGTCCTTGATATTGCCCAAGGACCCTGGCCCAGTCCCAGCTCCGGACTCCAGCCTGAAGCAAGTCTCCATGGTCATCCTCCCTAAGAGCCACCCCGGGCAACATTCCCAGACACTAGCCACAAAATCAAGCCCCAAATCCCAGCTCAACAACCTCCTTGCACTGACTTCAGACACCAGCCACACGCAGGCCCACCACCCGGCTCAGGCCTCAGTCTCCACCCCTACACTCAGGCCTCAGCCTCCACCTCTACACTCAGGCCTCAGGCTATTTGTAGGGCTCTTGCAGGGCATGAAGGAAGTTTGAGCCCCAGAACTATACTGGGGTGCCTGCCTGCCTGCTACCCCAGCACTTGGGATGTGGAGGCAGGAAGGTGCAGAGGTTCTGTCTCAAATAAGCAGTAAATTTAGTGACAGCCTGTCTCCAAAGACAGACAACGCTGAGAATTTGAGTATATATACCTAATATACATACATAAATGAACACATTTGCAAACAAGCGCACGAAAAGATGCTCGCTCTGTCCATAAGCAAGGGAGGAATGCGAGACCCAGCTCAACGCCAGACCTGACCAACTCAAGTCCCTGAAAGACGTGGCAGAGGTGTGCACGTTTCTAGATGCCAGCACCGTCTACTTGTCTCTGCTGTTCAACGCAAGATTACCCGTGTTCAGCCTTCAGCCGAGCTATGTACACCAGTGTGAGCTGAAGGCATAGGAAAAGCCATGCCCGAGCCCCGGCTTCGATGCCCGAGCCCCGGCTTCCAACTGACGGGTGGGAACCCAGTGCCTGTGGAGTGTGTGAAGCTGGAGTGCTGCAGATCCAGACGCGAGCTGTCTTAGGCTGTCTTGGGACCTCTAACTAGTCCCTGTCCCCACCTCTGTGTGTGATCCACACCCTTGTGGCTGTCAGGTAAATCTCCCTGGAATGCACTAACAGACTACTAGCTTCCTACACCCAAAGCCAAGGACGTCATGAGATAGCATCTGAAGGCTGCAACAGAAATGTCCCGCTGACAGTGACACACTCACTTGATGTTTCTGACAACGTACCGGAAAAATGTCTTCATTCCAGCTTTTCCTTTCTGTCACTATAAAACTCTGTTGGAATGTGATATTGGGGGAACCCAAATCTCTGCTCCCGGGCCATGGTCACCCACACTTAGCTCCCGAATAAACTATCTTTTATTCCCTGCATGCAGGTATGTGCACCAGACATGTGCTTATTGGATCCTCTGGAACTGGGGGCTGTGTTTTTGTGTCAACATAAAGAAGCAGGGACGATGAACCAAAAGGAGCTAGTGTTAAATGACAAAGACGTCTCAGTGGTTAGAGCACTGGCTATCCTCACAGAGAACCCGGTTCAGTTCCCAGCACCCACATGGCAGCCTCACCAACTTCTCTGGGCACACATGTGCTGGACACATATACATGCAGGCAAAGCATGTATACACATGAGATAAATAAAGACTATGCGAGATCAAGGTCACCCTGAAGTGCATATGGAGTTTGGGGTAGTCTAGGCTACTGGACACCGTGTCTCAAAAACAAAACAAAAGAAATAATAGTTTTTTATTTCGTTAATTAATTTTTGTGACAGGGTCTCTCTATGTGGTCCCAGCTGGTCTTGAACTAGATCTATAGACCAGGCTGACCTTGAATTCACAGAGATCCACCTGGGCCTGCCTCCTAGGTGCTGAGATTAAAGGTGTGTGCTACCACTGCCCGGCTAAAGAAAGAAAATTTTAAAAATACCAGCTAGGCATGGTGGCTCATACCTGTAATCCTATCACTAGGGAGCTGAGGCAGAAAGATTGCCATGAACTTGAGGCCAACCCGAGCTACCATTGGAAGTGGACTAGGGGTGTAGGCGTCCTGTCGAAAGAGTAGTTTCCCATCCACACAGTCACTCCAGCTAGGCCCAGGTGCCAGCCCTTGAGACACCTACTGAAGAGCTTGGCCAGGTATAACATTCTTCTTCGAATACTGTCTTTGTGTGTGATGGTATTTGTTTGGGAGGCTTTTTTGTGTGGTTTGGGGGTTTTGGTTGTTGTGGGATATTTTTTGTTTGTTTTGTTTTGAGGCATGGTCTCGCTATGTATCCCTAGCTGGCCTAGAACTCACAATATAGCCTGGGCCAGCCTCAAACTCACAGATGCCTCTGCCTCACCTCCTGAGGGCTGAGACTAAAGCCCTGTGCACCAAGCCTAGTCTTGTCCTGTGCTTTAATTACGTGAATGTATTTTGGAAGATTTTAAAAGTTAACGTTTGCCTTTCATCCCAAAGATGTGACAAGGGCCTCTTGTGAGGCTTCATTGGCAGAAGACATCAAATTAGGATGAAGCCAATCTGATTAGGGCTCTTAGAGTAGGGAGCAGACAGGGAAGACGGCCCTTGTGCTGCGGGGGCAGAGACAGGAGTGATGCCAAGGGTCACAGAGTGACAAACTCCACCTACATCTAAGACAAGGAGAACTCCACCCAGTGGAGATGGGGGTGACACTGTCGGCACGTCCACTTGTGTGGCTTGGCCTCCACAGCTGTGAAAGGACATTACCGTTGCTTTAAGTCATCTGAAACTCTGTCCCAGCCCACAGAGGTGACTGGGAAAGCTGGAGTCACCGCCCCAGGTCACTGGAGAAGGACCACATTGCTTGAGAGGTGTCTGGAACCTCCACTGCGTGTCTCTTACCGTTGTCCCCCTGCTCAGAGTGATGCCACCCTGCCCTGCTCTAGCCTTCCAGTGCTCTGACACCAGAGGACAGGAGTCTCTCTACCTTTACCCACTGTTTCTCTAAGCCACACAGACCGGCTGTGACAGCCGTCAAGCAGCTTTCTGGATGCTTCCAAACCTTTTCTGGTTTAGGAAATGCTCTCAAGTTAAGCAGGAGAGGCGCGATGGGGGCTGGGGGCTGGGTCTCCCATAGGCTGACCTACCCCACTGTAGGAATGTGCTGGTCACAGGTTCCTTCAAAGCTCGTGCACCCTGAGACTGATGGGGTAGTGCCCTTGGTCACAGAGTCACTTCAGTGGAACCTCCAACAGATAGAGGGACCCCCCCCCACGTGGCAGACAAACACGTCTGGGATCCAGATATGCACAGGGTCATGGTATAGGCCCCACGGAAGAGGCCTCTTTGCCTATTTCCTCTTTTCCCCTCTCCACTCTTGACCGTAGAGCCTCTAACCCTGTCCAAAAGATTCACCAGCCTGGAAGGCAGGTTCAGGGATTGCTCCCGAACCAGGAACGTTCTAGAAGGGCAACCGGGCCAGTGGGAAAACAACGGAAAATCAAAAGGCTGGGCTCCCTTTGCGCATGTGTGGCGGGCACATGTGTGAACCAGTGTGTCCCTGGGCTTCACACAAGGAAGATCTCAATCCGAATGCCTGGCCCGGGGAGCTCACTTCCAGTAGCATCCCTTCTGGGTCCAATCACCAGTGACCTGGGATCCAGTCTCTGCCCCTCCAGTGGGAGGGACAGGTCCAGCCTGGCCCCCGCTTATGAACAACTTCCAGGTAGAGAGGAAGAATTAAATGGAAGGCGCAATAAGAGTGAAACAGTTAGAATTTCTGCCTCATTATCATGGTAATCTTATCAGTGGGATAATGAGGTATTAATGGAGACTTAATGTGCATCTCATAACAGAATCCCTTGGAGAAAACACACAGGGAAATTGCTGTAAACCTACTTAATGATGGAGAAGTCCCCAAACACCATATTCCAAAGGATGAAAAATGCAGGATGTAAATGAGAAGGAGCCAAGGTCAATAACACCGCGGGGACAGCCCTAATGGCAGATCTGGAGATATATGTAATAAAAATTGCATGTTGCTTTTAGACCTCACCCTCTGTTGTTTTCAAATGTGCATTCCTAGTAATGAAACAGAAGCACAGAGTGATTTGTATGTTTTAGAAGCCATGGGGGGGAAGGCAACATGTCTAGAAACCCATTAGGCCCCCCAGAGAGAAATCGGGTGTTTTGGGGAGAGGTCTTCAAGGGGCGGGGAGTCCCCTAGTTGGGGGTAGGGAGGGAAAGCAGATCCAGGGTCAAGGTCACTTGTGAAACACCAGCGATGAGGCGGAGGAGGAAGAACAGTGGAGATTCAAGCTCTCCTGGAGAGACACCCGCTGAGGGGTAGGATCAGCAGCAATATCCCATCAGGGTGAGCGGACCCTGAGGGGGTGAGCACCTGCAATCCCAGCTCCTGTGAGATGGAGGCAGGAGGGTCAGGAATTCAAAGCTAGCCTTGGCTATGTAGCAAATTCAGAGCCAGCCTGGGCAACATAGTGAATTCAAGGCCCAACCTTGGCTACAGAGGAAGACCCTTCCTCGCAAAAGAAAAGGGGAAGGGAGGATTTGAGTTCTCTAGCGTCCTAGGTAGCTTTAACTGTGAATTTGACATCACCTACGGTCACCTGAGAAAGAGTCTCAACCGCTCAGATCACACTGGCCTGCCAGCTTGTCTGTGGGGGACTGTCTTAATTTCTAACTGACTAGGGGGCCAGCCCACTGCGGCTGGCACCATCCCTTGGCAGGTGGTCCTGAGCTGCGTAAAGAGGTTTGGTAAGCAGTGTCCCCCCATGGTTCCTGCTTGAGTCCCTACACTGGCTTCTCTCCATGAGGGGTAGTGACCTGGAAGCTAAAACAAACGCTTCCCTGCCCTGAGTTGCTTTGTCCAGAGTCCGTCATAGCAACGGAATGGAATTAGAATATAGGGACATAGCTCAGCAGATGGGGTGCCAGCCTAGCGTGGAGACGGAACCCATTGCGAGAACCACTTACCACAGGTGAGGTGGCATGTGTCTGAAATCCCAGCACTTGGAAGGCAGAGGCAGGAGGATCATTCAAGGCCATCCTCTACTTCATAGCAATTTTTAGGCTAGCCTGGGCTACGTGAGACTTTGTGGCGGTGGTATGATGATCACAACACCAATAGCAACGGGCTGGAAAGATGCCTCTGTGGGTAAGGGAGCTTGCTGCCAAGGCTGAAGACCTAAGTTCCATCTCTGGGATGGAGGAAGGAGAGAGCGGACTCAAGTTACCCTCTGAACACCACACATGCACCCCACACACAAATGTAATGATAATAACATATAAGAAAAAGAGAGCCACAGAATCCAAAGGCTGCCAGCCCTTGGAGTCACAGAAGACAAAGGCCCTGTGCCCTGCTGTGGCCCCTGATCTCACACTTCCCGTGCTGGCACTGAGGGCTCAGTCCAAGAGAAATGGAAAAGGCCCGTGAGACCTATCCGTACACCGTAACGGAAGTGCCACACTCTGTTTTTTTTTTTTTTTTTTTTTTTCCATAGCCTGTATGGGTCCCTCTTTGTGGCTTCTTTTAGGAGGCACTAGGTAAGGAGAGTGTCCCGGGACACCAAGACTACAGAGGCCCACTGTTCCGACTTCCTGGGACTGGTCCTGAACAATATCACCTCTAGAGAAATCCTCAGTCTTGGGCAAACGGGGGGGGGTGTTGGTCACCCTGTCAGTGAGCAAGGCCTGGAGGTTTGGTGCTGAGTCTGGGAAGCAAGGAGACAGACCCTAGGCCCTCTGCCTCTGTGACAGCCATTGTGCAAAATGTCAGAGGGTACCAAAGGAGTCACCACACAGGAAACGGGATGGCCACAGGACAGCCACACAACAGCCACAGGACACAGGACAGCCACAGGACAGGCCACAGGACAGCCACACAACAGCCACAGGACACAGGACACAGAACAGCCACAGGACAGGACACAGGACACAGGACACAGGACACAGGACACAGGACAGCCACAGGACAGGACACAGGACACAGGACACAGGACACAGGACACAGGACAGCCACAGGACACAGGACAGGACACAGGACACAGGACAGCCACAGGACAGCCACAGGACACAGGACAGACACAGGACAGGACACAGAACACAGGACACAGGACAGACACAGGACAGACACAGGACAGGACACAGGACACAGGACACAGGACAGCCACAGGACAGGCCTCCTTCCCTTTGGCCTCTCAGGGCCTAACGTGCCCACATCACAGATGAGGAGACTGAGGTGTTGGCTGCTGACAGGACTTACCCACTGTCACCCAGGAGCCCACAGGTAGCTGAAGTGCCGAAGAAGGGTGACAAGACTGTTTGGGGACAGACATGACCCCCTAGAGAAAGGGGCCGCCTGGTCCCGAGAAAAGGCAGGAAGGGAGCAGACAGCCGAGGCCTGCAGCTGTGCTGTTTAATCACAGACTGTAAATTGAATGAAGTGAAGCCGGCGCTGCTCTTTGAATTTCCCCCAGGCCCTGTTTAATGAATAAATAGGCATGATTTGTAATTAGCTTCTCCATTGTGCGAGGCTTCTGGAGCACCTGAAGCGAGTTAAGCACACCCCCTGCAATCTTGCCGGCAGTGTTAGCCGGTGCGGCCGGCAGCCTTTCCGTCCTGGTCCACCGTACGTGTGACCAGGACGATCAGCTGTGTCTCCACGGTGGACGAATTGAGAAAACGTGGCGGGGGGGTGGGGTGGAAAGATGAAGACACAGCGTCGTCCTCAGTTGTGACTCCCAGAGTGGGATCTGGGCTCTGTTTATTCTCCTCAGCCAACACACAAAGCAGTACCCCATCTACCCCCTCGTCCACCCGCTAGGACCCCACTGTCGCCACTGAGGAAAAGTGCTCATTCAGGCCGCTTCTCTGAAGGGTCCAGACTGGGCCGGGGATCTTCACCCATTTGGGCCACCTCGCTTTTGAGCAAGCTGTCATCTGTGGCCTTGTTCTCGCCAAGCACCCTGTATCATTATCCTACCATCAAGGCTGCAGGTCTGTCTTTGCCCAGTTTCCGTGCTAACTATGTGGCAGGGGCTGCAATTTCAAATCCTAACGTTTTCCTGCTCGGGGCTGGTGGGAGGGACCCTGGGCACAGGTAGCCGGCTTGATTGCTGACACATTTCCTAACTAAAAGGGTTCCATTCATCTTCATCCCGGACTCAATCTGTGCAGAGAGGAGCTGCTCCACCCCACCACCTGGAGGCTTCCTTATCCATCACCTTCCTGCTTCCCTCGGGATCTGCAGGGCCCCCACTCTGCAATCAGGCCTCTCCCCCAGGCCCTGCGGGAGTTCAGTGCTGCAGCACCGAGGAGGGGAAGGTCACCTGACTGTCCCCTTTTGCTGTGTCACTGACACGGCTGATGTATGCGGGCCATGAGCAGAGACATGGGTCTTCTCTCCCTTAGGGACTATCTGGTCTGGCTTTTGGATTCCTGCTGGATGTCAAACCCTAACAATGGGACACTAAGAGTGTCCATCCCTGTGCCAAAGGACTCATTGTTACAGAAAGAGATCACAGCGATGAGACACTGACATGGGAACCCCCTACAATTCGCACTGCTCCCTGGATCTCATGGTCCTCCATAGCCCTCCCAAGCTGGTTTTGCACAAAGCACACAAGGTTGGACCCCTAGAAGCTAAAATGCAGACTTAGAAATTCTTGAGATCCAAAACCAAATATTGCTTCTGCCTCTTTCTTTCTTTGTTTTTTTTTTGTTTTTGTTTTTGTTTTTTTGTTTTGTTTTTCTTATTTTGGTTTTACGAGACAGGGTTTCTCTGTATTGTTTTGGAGGCTGTCGGACCAGCCCAGCCTCGAACTCACAGAGATCCGCCTGCCTCTGCCTCCCGAGTGCTGGGATTAAAGGAGTGCGTCACCACCGCCTGGCTGGTTATTTTGTTTTAAGACCTAGAATTCATCAGGCAGATCTCTGTGAGTTTGAGGCCGGGCTGGACCAACAGCCTCCAAAACAATACAGAGAAACCCTGTCTCGTAAAACCAAAAAAAAAAAAAAAAAAGACCTAGAATTCACTATGGTGACAATGCTGGCCTCAAGCTCACAGACCCGCCTGCCTCTGTCCTCAGAGTGCTGGGACTAAAAGGCAATCTGCCACAATGCCTGAGGTCTCAAGTAGTCCAGGCTATTCAAGAACTCCCTGGATAGCTGAGAGGAACCTTGAACTTCTGATTTTCCTGCTTCCCATGCCCAAGTGCGGAGGATTATAGACTTGTACCACCACACTTGGGACTTTCCCCTTGCCTTTTAAAAACAGAGCTGGGCATGGTGGTGCACACTTTGTTCCAGCACTCAGGAATCGGAAGCAGGCGGATCTCTATGAGTTGGAGGCCAGTCCGGTCTACGAGTGAGGACTAGGCCAGCCATCGCTACACAATGAGACCCTGTCTCAAACAACAACAACGTCATCAGTGGAGCTGGACAGATGGCCTAGTAGAGAAGAGCACTGGCTGCTCTTCCAGAGGTCCCGGGTTCGATTCCCAGAACCCACATGGTGGTTCACCACCACCTGTAACTCTGTTTCCAGGGATCCAACACCCTCTTCTTTACTCCATGGGCACTGCACACACACACACAACGCACAAACATGAACACATATACACACAAGATTTAAAAAACAAATATTTTTAAATAGTCATCAGTAAGAAAATAGACAGGTTATATCTATATTAGGTTGTACACAACCATTTAAAATTGAGGTTAGAGCCGGGCGTTGGTGGCACACGCCTTTAATCCCAGCACTCGGGAGGCAGATGCAGGTGGATCTCTATGAGTTCGAGGCCAGCCTGGTCTACAAAGCGAGTTCCAGGACAGCTTCCAAGACAATACAGAGAAACCCTGTCTCGAAAAACCAAAAATAAAATAAAAGTAAAATAAAATAAAATTGGGGTTAGAGCTGTAGTAGGGTTAATTCATGGTGAAAGTATTCGCTTGAGGACCCATTACACAGATTCGGCTCTGAAAACTGTTAACACCTTGTGAACACCTGCCTCTGCCTCCCAAGTGCTGGAATTAAAGCCCTGCACCACCACCGCCCGCAAGCCTTTCTCTTTTAAATGTGTTTTTTGTCAGGGTGTTTTATCACAGTGATAAAAGGGAAACCAGGACAACGGGGCCCGCGGTGACGCCCATGCTGCAGGAAAGACATATATATGTAAAGCCCTGGGCACTACTCTTACCCTATGAAAGGAGGGGCAGCACGTCTGTGGCCAGGGACACAGCACCCTGCGGCGGAGCCCCCTGAGAACGGGTGTCAGGACAGCACTCCAAGGTGGGAGCCCTTGAGCCAAGGACTTAAGGACTACCGTAACTTTGATGAGTTGCCGTTGAAAAGTGCCATGTACTGGGAATGATGACCATCCCACACGATGTGTGTGTGACGTGGGAACCTGCACATTCTGGGGTCTGTCTAGAGTTGTCCTGATCCAGGCAGGGCTCCTGCAAGGTGGCGGAACTAATGTTCCAGCCCAGAGCCCACAGGGCACCTCACAGCCAGTGCTCTGTACCTGTCCTTGGCCACAAGATGTCACCCAAGCAGCGGAAAAGCGGAAAAGATGCCAGACCGGAATCAACCAGGGGACAAGAGCAGATCTCTACAGAGCCCACGACAGACGCCCCCTAACCTGACCATGCGGGACTGCGCTCTTCCAGGGCAGACGTGTCAATGCCCTGGGCAAGGCTACTTGCGGTGGGATACAGATGCCCCAGGGGCGCTCGGCAGGTCACACAGAAGGCACCAAGAATCGAGAATCGCCTCGGCCCCATAGCTTCCCACCTGGTCATTCCCAGCAGGCAAACAATGGTTCTTGTTTCTTTGTGTGGCAGTCACTGACTTTGAGACCCAGGAGGGGAGCAGAGGGAGGGTCGGTCAGGGCATGCGCAGCCTGCAACCCCACCACCACCACCCCGGAGCAGCTGTGGAAGTTTTTGACCGGGCTCCTGAGCTTGGACAAGAGATGTGGCAGGGCGGTGCAGGTCCTCTGAACTTTATCGCGTGCCAGGAGGCAAACGCACCTTCAACCCACCTGCAGCCCAGCTACAGCCCACCTGTGCAGTACACACCTGCAGACTACAGCCCACCTGTGCATACCTGCAACCCAGCTGGAGAGGATTATGGCACCATCTTCTCACGGAGTGGGAACTACAGAACCATAGACCAGAGTTTGGGGAGGAGGTAGCTGTGACAGGTCTTGCCTGAATATGGAAAGAAAAGATAGTTCCTGCTACCTCCTCCCATCAGCAAATATCTGGGGGTATCTGACCATGACTGTGCAGGCAAACAGGAACACTAGGAAGTCACTTCTGCCCTGAGGTACTGAGTGGATGTGAGGCCTTATTGGAGAGGGAAGGAAGGAGTCATTGGGTTCTCCAAAAGGGCATTTGCAGGAGACAACGGTAACAATGGCGGAAGTAACAATTCTGAGGGGCTGGCGTGGACTGTACAAAGACGGGCCGGGCTGGCGAAGGTGGGCAGAACCAAGGAGAACAGTTTGGGGCCGCCGCAGACGTGGCTGTTACTTTCGTTAAGATCGCCTTGTTTGTGTCTGTTACGTGGGTGCATGGGGAAGTCGAGAGAGCATCAGGTGTCCGCCACTCTCCAGCGCTCCTTTAGAGGATCTCTCCCTGAATCTGGAGTTCCTGTTTTCTCACTAGGCCAGAAGCCACATGTCGCAGTGATCCTCCCTCAGAACTGGGACTCCTCTGTCCTTCATCCCTCTCAGAGCTGGGCCTACAGAGGTGTAAGGACACTAGAGCCGTTACACAGGGCTGGGACCTGAAGGGATGGGTACCCCTGGTAGCGTCCAGACATAGCATTTACAAATGTCCAATCTAGGCCTTTCATCCCAGCACTCAGGAGGCAGAGGCAGGAGGATCTCTGTGAGTTTGAGGCCAGCCTGGTCTACAGAGCGAGTTCCAGGCTGGTAGAGGATACACAGAGAAACCCTGTCTCAAAGAAAAAAGAAAAGCCAATTCCAGGAGTCCACCCCTAAAGATGACAATTTGGACTTGTAGGTTGCATCAGTTCCCTTGGCTGTCACAGAAATTTTGTCACAACTATGAATTAAGAAAAGCTAGGGAAGTTAAAGTGAAGACTCATTTGGTCACTCTTGATTGTGGCATAAAATTCCAGGCATTAGTCAGCAGCATGTGGGCTTCCCAGACAACAGAAGTAAGATCACTGCATTTCAAGTTTGTTGTTTACAGGCCAAAAGACATCTTTGCAGCCAAGAGTGTATTTTTGTTGGTTTGCTTGTCTTTCGGATCTCCTTCACGTGGTAAGTGATATGAGCCTGTGACCTACCCCGAGCAGATTGGAGGCACTGCCCAGAGCGCTGTCTTCCATGTTCATGTGGGAAGAGGCACACGAAGGGGCTTCAGGCCAGGTCCCATGTTCCTGGGACACTCAGCGGTGCGGCTGAGTGTCACAAACTCAGGGAGCAGAGTTAGAGAAGGCTGTGTGCACGCACACCAGCAGGAGTACAAGAGACAGGCGTACCTCCAGCTTAGCAAGTGATGATGGCGGAAGTCAGAGGCACGTGTTAACTCTGACCACCAAGAAGGAAAACTGAGCCCTGTCAGCCTTCAGATGTCTCCTTCCAGTCACCTTCCAGAAAGCACATCCCATCCACTTGCAGAGCCTCAGGTAGGCCCGAGTTAACAGAGACGTTCATAAGTACAGTCACTGGAGGGCAACGGCAAAGCCAATGAATACCCTGTGGGATCAGGGAGGAAGGGCGCTCAACAGCAGCGGGGCAGCGCAGGGGCTGCTGGGTCATTCTAGTTCTTTCTAGCACCACAAAAACAGGGTTTTTGTTGGGACAGTATGTTATATACCCAAGGCTGGCCTCGATTTTGCAATCTTCCTTATGGACAAGTAACTATAGCTATTTCCTAAGTAAAACTCAGGGAGGACATCAGAAACATTCAAGAGGTGAAGGACATTTTCAGCAATGCTTCTCAACATGGAACACACAACACAGCAGTGAAGAACACGGAACACACACAGCACTGAAGAACACGGAACACACAACACGACCATCAAGGACACCACCCTGTTAGCTGAGTTCACAAGCTGACACCCTAGAGCAGTAATGGGCCTGGCAGGCAGGATGACTGTGCAGCCCACAGATCCAGGCTCACACAGAGAGATGCTCGCGGGAGGAAGCTAGCACACAGCCGTGAACACAGGACGCAGAGAACACAGCAGGTCAGGCAGGCGTCATCTCTGCAGAAATGATTTGGCCCACAGCTCAAATGGCTCTCAGCACGGAAGGCTGTGCTGTGCCTCCCTTTGTCCAAGTGTTCTTTCTTCCCAGTAAAAGGCTACTCCCAGCCACCTACTCCTGGAACATTCACCAACGCCAATCTGGCAAAGCTCTCAAGTATTTTTATTTAATTTTTTATTGACTTGAGATAGGCTCTTAGTCTACAGCCCTCCTCAGTCTCTCCATGGCTAGGCTCACAGCCGTGAGCCACACCCCGCAGGCACTTTGGCATTCAAATTTCCAACAGTCCAACCACTGTGCGAAAGTGCATTAGTTTCAAGAAAATGGTTCCTGACACCACCCCTCCCCGCCCCCATCCCAGCAAATCAGCAAATCCAGAATCAACTAGCTAGACGTCACAGACCTGAGAAGAGTGTAGATTT